CATTAAGGTTCGTATATCTTCACTTTTCTGCCACCAACTACAACAAACGAAGGTATTATTAAACACAGTTTACATGTTTGCTGCTGTAATGATAGATACTACGTTTTCGTACATTTTCATCAAAGAAAATTACTGTATATTTCAAATAAAATGACAAAAATTTCGGAGACTAGAACGAATTAATTGCATTTGCATTAATTTCTATGGGAAAAATTGCTTCGGTTAACGAACAATTCAGTTAACGAACGGAGTCGCGGAACGGATTAAGTTCGTTAACTGGGGTTCCACTGTACTAACATTTGAAAACCTTAGTGTGTCATGACTATGCAGATGTGAGCGAGTGAGAATATGTGGCAAGTCACGATAAATATCAAACCCTGTCAAATATGCACGAGAACCAGAAATTTGCTTTCACCAGCAAGATTTCTCACTTCTCACTTGTGCATGTTCTTCTTTGTGAGAACTATATCGCTCACTATTAAATTTGCATCTGCATAGTCACACTCTTAGTACAGTAGAACCTCGAAAACTCAGCCCTCGATAACCCGGCACTCCGGATAACTCGTCCACACCCTGGCAGGGCAAAAAAATCCTTAGTTAATTAATTTTCATTATAGACAGCTTTATAAAAGTATAAAAGCTCTCATAAAGTATTTTTCTGAGGTCTGTCTTATCAGGTAAATTACTGTACACAGTGTATTCATTAATTTTCATTTTCATGTAGTAAAGGCTNACAACAAACGAAGGTATTATTAAACACAGTTTACATGTTTGCTGCTGTAATGATAGATACTACGTTTTCGTACATTTTCATCAAAGAAAATTACTGTATATTTCAAATAAAATGACAAAAATTTCGGAGACTAGAACGAATTAATTGCATTTGCATTAATTTCTATGGGAAAAATTGCTTCGGTTAACGAACAATTCAGTTAACGAACGGAGTCGTGGAACGGATTAAGTTCGTTAACTGGGGTTCCACTGTACTAACATTTGAAAACCTTAGAGTGTCATGACTATGCAGATGTGAGCGAGTGAGAATATGTGGCAAGACACGATAAATATCAAACCCTGTCAAATATGCGCGAGAACCAGAAATTTGCTTTCACCAGCAAGATTTCTCACTTCTCACTTGTGCATGTTCTTCTTTGTGAGAACTATATCGCTCGCTATTAAATTTGCATCTGCATAGTCACACTCTTAGTATTACTTGGTCTCTGATCAAATGCAGTCACAGATGGATAAAACAATGGTTATCTATTTACTTTTTAACCTTTAAAGTTTTAATATTTTTAAAAAGATTTTTTAAAATAACAGAGGGTGCCACATCAGTTTTAAATATTGCCAGGAAAGTTAATCAGCTCATTGCTGGATATTTTTCTTGGCAACTTAAGACTCCAAATGACGTTTCAACAGGCAATCCAGAATACAGCACTGAAATCATCTCTGTTGTGATGATTCACCTAGATCAGCTGCATCATTTACAGATTCAAACTGCATTATGTTTCACTACAAGAGACCTGCTTCATCTAATGAGTCCCCATCCGTGTTGAATTCAAAGCTTTCTAAATCACATATACCACCTTTTAAATAGATTCACACTTAGATGAAAACTTTTAAGTGTTTTATAATAACAGAAATAAAAAATCACTAATGCAATATTATTTTCAATAAGCAAAGGAAACTAAAAATTCCTTATTACAGAACTGCCTGGATGTGTATCAAACACAATATAACAGAAACACAAGTCTTCATGCTAGTCTCGTTGACAAGTCAACTAAAGGAAGCCTCAAAGGGTGTTCAGGTTGACTTGTGGAAGAGTTGAACTCAGCACAAAGGAGTGGAGGCCGGATGGGAAAAATACATATTTTTCAAGTGAAAAGTTTCAAACACAAATGCATTAAAAATAATATTCAGATAGTACTTCAAAGGAATTTAGGGAACAAGCTTAGTCTCCCTAGTTCATTCTCAGCATGTCACTGTTGTATATCTTACATTGTATGTTATTGCACAGTGGCACGTTATCCTATGGGCAAAAAGGGCAATTGCTTGGGACCCCTGTTTATGAGGACCCCAATATTTTATAAACTCATTACTATAGTAGGAATATCTAAATTTAAATTTGGCATCACATCTGGAAACCGTAGATTGCCGATATGGCACAGGCACAGTGCATAAGTTTTATTTTACCCTCCAGCAGTCACATCAAAAAAACGAGCGAGGACACAGGAGATTTCCCCAAAACTCCCCCGAAGAAAAATATATGCAGTTAATAATGTACAGTACATGGGACCCCTAATTCAAATTTGCCCAGGCTCCACCAAGCTATAATGCACCACTGGTATTACAGCTATGAATGAAGGATTTAGACCCCCCTACAACGGGTATGTTCTACAGCTCTGATAAAGTCCCAACTGCCTCAGAGCTGCATTTTTACCCAAAAGTGCACAACACGACTTTGAATACACGCAATTACATTATATATTTGCATTGCAAATTAAAATTATAAAAAAAATGTAAATTTACATTTTAAATTCAAGAATTATAATTGCAATTAAACCTTACGCAAACTTACCACAGAAATGTATATATTCATAAAAATTCAAAATTGGAGGCGATTTTCTCGTTATGAAAACGATAAAAAAGCACATAGCGATAATTAAGAAAATAACAGACGATAGTAAACAAATGGGATGATTCACGTCCCATCTCAAATAGATCATTAAACCGTTAAATATATACGTAATCGGTACGGCTAACATCGAAACGATAAATACTTTAGTCGCATTTGAAAACGACATCGTATTCACTTATACATGTGACTTAAATTGTTACGAAAAGACATCACACCATCACATTTTCCGCCATTTTGTTTATTTTGATACGTAACTGAGAACGAGGTTGCGAGTAAGGGGGCGTTACTGTCGAGAGCTTGCACCAAGATGGCAGACAGCGAGTGGTTTAGATGCGGCTACGGTACAAATTATAATTGAAACGTTTGATATTCAAGCGATTAGTAAGTTTGTTCGATTATAATATACATAAAATAAGTTTATTTAATTCTGACTTTAGTTTTTTATAATATTAACTCGGGCGCGTGTAAATTATTCGATCCGGTCATTTGACAGTCATTTCAGGTTAAAATTTACAGTAACTTGATGATCGGTTTGTTTCGAGTTTTATTAATTTGACAAATGAATTATTCGATAAAAATATCGTTAATAAAGAGTTAACCATGGTAAATAAGCAATGTTTTGAATGAGATTCCTATTATAATATTTCAACATTGTTTATCTTTAAACTTAAAAATTATATCTTCTGTGTATGAACTAAATAATAGAAGAATGGAATTAAGCATATTTATAAACTTTTAACTTGAGTATGACTGATATAAAATTACATTGATCTTGAAATTGAGTACAGTATTTGTTCTTTTTTTTTTTAAATGCTTCATCTATGCTTGCAAAGAGGGCCTTTTTAGCAAGCTTGTTATGGATTTGGCCGCGTCCGCAATGGAGCAACCTGGTGGTGAGGTATGGGGCCGGACTGACCGACCTCCGAAAAATTCCTGGGGTTTTTCGGTCTGTTTGGATTTGATCCCGAGTTTCTCAGATTAGTTGGTTGTCGCTTTAACTGCTTGGCCGTTGGCTATCTTATGTATTGCACTATAGACTGTAAGGAACCAAGTCTGAGCTTTATTTTTATTTTACTTTTATTTTGCTTTCATTATATTTTGTTTGGGGCTTATGTTTAGTTAAGACGAAGGTTTCCTCACCATTCACCTTAGTAACTTAAAAATAGAAGAAAAACCAACTCACCGACAAAAGAAAAGCGCCGTAGAAAAACTCGCGCACACTTGCGCTTCCCAAGCGGAAAAAAGTAAGTCCGCACCGAGAAAAAGGGGGGGG